ACACCATGGAAGTCCAGGAAATCATCAGAGACTACTTGAGAACCTATATTCAAATAAATTTGAAAATCTAAGAAATGGACGATTTCTAGATACATATGATCATCCAAAACTGAACCAAGAGGATATTAATCACCTGAATAGATCTATAACACAAAATGAAATTGAAGCAGCAATCAAGAGTCTCCCCAAAAAGAAAAGTCCAGGACCTGATGGATTCTCTGCTGAATTCTATCAGACTTTAAAGAAGAACTGATACCACCCTCCTTAAACTGTTCCATGAAATAGAAAGGGAAGGAAAACTGCCTAACACATTTTATGAAGCCAGTATTACACTTATCCCAAAACCAGGCAAAGACACCTCCAAAAAGGAGAACTATAGGCCAATCTCCTTAATGAACATTGATGCAAAAATCCTCAAAAATAATGGAAACCGAATTCAACAACACATCAAAAAGATCATTCACCCGACCAAGTAGGCTTCATCCCAGGAATGCAGAGGTGGTTCAACATATGAAAATCAATAAACATAATAAACCACATTAACAGAAGCAAAGACAAAAACCACTTGATCATCTCAATAGATGCAGAAAAAGCCTTTGATAAGATCCAACACCATTTCATGATAAAAGCTCTAAGAAAACTAGGAATAGAAGGAAAGTAGCTCAACATTATAAAAGCTATATATGACAAACCTACAGCCAGCATTATACTTAATGGAGAAAAACTGAAACCATTCCCTCTAAAATTAGGAACGAAACAAGGATGCCCACTATCTCCACTCCTATTCAACACAGTACTGGAATTCCTAGCAGAGCAATTAGCAAGAAGGAATAAAAGGAATACAAATAGGTAAAGAAATGTCAAAATATCCCTATTTGCAGACGACATGATCCTATACCTTAAAGACCCAAAAAACTCTACTCAGAAGCTCCTAGACACCATCAATAGCTATAGCAAGTAGCAGGATATAAAATCAACATAGAAAAATCATTAGCATTCTATACACTAACAATGAACAAACTGGAAAAAGAATGTATGAAAACAATTCCATTTACAATAGCCTCAAAAAAAATCAATACCTAGTGTAAACTAACAAAGATGTGAAAGACCTCTACAAGGAAAACTATAACTTCTGAAGAAAGAGATTGAGGAAGACTATAGAAAGTGGAGAGATCTCCCATGCTCTGGATTGGTAGAATCAACATAGTAAAAATGTCTACTCCCAAAAGTAATCTACATGTTTAATGCAATTCCCATCAAAATTCCAATGACATTCATTAAAGAGATTGAAAAATCTACCATTAAATTTATATGGAAACACAAGAGGCCGAATAGCCAAGGCAATACTCAGTCAAAAGAACAATGCTGGAGGTATCACAATACCACTTCAAACTATATTACAAAGCAATAACAATAAAAACAGCATGGTACTGGCACAAAAACAGACATGAAGACCAGTGGAACAGAATAGAGGACCCAGATATGAAGCCACACAACTATAACCAACTTGTCTTTGACAAAGGCGCTAAAATATAAATGGAGAAAAGCAGCCTCTTCAACAAAAACTGCTGGGAAAACTGGTTAGCAGTCTGCAAAAAACTGAAACTAGATCCATGTATATCACCCTATACCAGATTTAACTCAAAATGGATCAAGATCTTAATATCAGACCCAAACTCTAAAGTTGATACAGGAAAGAGTAGGAAATACTCTGGAATTAGTAGGTATAGGTAAGAACTTTCTCAATGAACCCCAGCAGCAGCAACTAAGAGATAGCATAGATAAATGGGACCTCATAAAACTAAAAAGCTTCTGCTCAACAAAAGAAATGGTCTCTAAACTGAAGAGAACACCCACAGAGTGGGAAAAATATTTGCCAGCTACATCAGACAAAGGACTGATAACCAGAATATATAGGGAACTTAAAAAAAAATTCTCCCAAATAATGAACCAATAAAGAAATGGGCAAGTGAACTAAACAGAACTTTCTCAAAAGAAGAATTCAAATGGCCAAAAACACATGAAAAATGCTACCATCTCTAGCAATAAAGGAAATGCAAATTAAAACACACTAGATTCCACCTCACCCCTGTTAGAATAGCTCATTAGCAACACCACCAACAACAGGTGTTGGTGAGGATTGGGGAAAAAAACCCTCTTACACTGTGGTGGAATGTAAACTAGTACAACCATCTGGAAAAAATTGGAGGCTACTTAAAAAGCTAAACATTGATCTACCATTTGATCCAGCAATACCACTCTTGGGATATACCAAAAGACGTGACACAGTTACTCCAGAGGCACCTGCACACCCATGTTTATTGCAGCACTATTCACAATAGCCAAGTTATGGAAACAGCCAAGATGCCCACCACTGATGAATGGATTAAGAAAATGTGGTATTTATACACAATGGAATTTTATGCAGCCATGAAGAAGAATGAAAATGTTATCATTTGCTGGTAAATGGATGGAATTGGAGAACATCATTCTGAGTGAGGTTAGCCTGGCCAAAAGACCAAAAATCATATGTTCTCCCTCATATGGACATTAGATCAAGGGCAAACACAACAAGGGATTGGACTTGAGCACATGATAAAGCGAGAGCACAAGGGAGTATGAGGATAGGTAAGAACCTAAAAAACTAGATAGCATTTGTTGCCCTCAACACAGAAACTAAAGCAGATACTTTAAAGCAACTGAGGCCAATAGGAAGAAGGGGACCAGGAACTAGAGAAAAGGTTAGATCAAGAAAGAATTAACCTAGAAGGTAACACACATGCACAGGAAATCAATGTGAGTCAATGCCCTGTATAGCTATCCTTATCTCAACTAGCAAAAACCCTTGTTCCTTCCTATTATTGCTTATACTCTCTCTTCAACAAAATTAGAGATAAGGGCAAAATAGTTTTCTGCTGGTATTGAGGGGTGGGGGGGGGAAGGAAGGGGATGAAGGGGAAGGGAGGAGAAATGACCCAAACATTGTATGCACATATGAATGAATAAATAAAAATAAAAAAAATAAAAAAAAGCAAAAATAATCAAAAGGTCTGCACACAAATAACAAATACTGTGAGGTTTTGCCTTCGTGTTGAACTACCATCAGTTACTTGACCTAATAATTTCCCCCATTTTAGAATAAGAAAGACAGCTTTAGATATCAGAGTAGCATCAAATAAAACTCAGTGACAAAATCAAGAAAAAGTAAGTCAGAATCAGGACTAAGAACTAAGACTGAACCAGAATGGTTAGTGTGAACCCTAAGGAAAGCTGCCTCAACTGTTATTGGAATATTGCAGAAAACACTAGAAAATACAGGCAAGGTTCTGGACAAAGCACGTGAAGTATGACTGGCAAGTCAGTGGCCAAGGCAGCAACACAGTGCAAAATGAGTAACTTAATGGTGTAGGGCCAAAGTTCAGTGCCAATTTGGAGATGAGGAGAGATCAGAAATGGCAGCCTGGATACGGAAGCAAGAAAACACTTACCAGGATCCAAGGAGTTCTCATGGATGCACAAGACATAAACAACTTCTTGAGCCAAAGTTTTGTTGCCTATAGGCACAAGAGAAAGGGCTAGATCTGACTCCACTAGAGGCAGCAGGGCTTGCATGTACATTATTTGCTGGTAAGCCCTGGACCAGTCCAAAGAAATGCATCATGAAATTATAAAGTCTATAGACCAAAATGGATTTGCTATCACAGGACCTGGGTTTCCACAATACCATTCCAGAATATGGAAAATAATGTCAACATCTTTTATGAAGATAAAAAAATGGCAGGATTAAAATAACTTCCAATAATGATCTAAGTAGATCATTAGTGACATTTAACATGAGGTCATCTACATTGAAAAACAACTTGAGTGCTCTTCACAGAAAGAACTTTCCAAAACTACTTTAAAACATTTAGGACCCCAATGTCATCTCTAAACTTTTTTTTTAAAGGGTATTTAAAAAAAAGTTCATTCTTTCATCCTTAAGGTATTTGTGACCTACTATATTACACATGCTTTGACTTGCTTTTCTAGCTGTGGGAAACTCACACTTTGAGGTAAATAATTGGCTTAGTCTAATGTGACCTAACTCTTGTCCAACTCTACCATTCTTTATGATCACTGACATCCAGTGGAATTCCTCTAAGCAAACTGACTTTTTCAAATTGGCAATGAAGACGTAAACACCAACCCCTTCTCTTTGACAGATGGCCTATAAAGCTTCTTACTCTAACATGTTAACTGACAAATCTGGTACACTTTATAACATATTTTATCACGATCGCAGGAACTCATTCATTCTGTGGACTAGGAATTTCACTTCCATGGGACAGAATGTAGTTATCTGAATTTTTTTTTAATTATTTTTTTTATAGCCACATAAAGTTTTAATAAGAAGTCTTATGGGAGTAAATCTGATTCCAGAAAACATTAGACTTGATCATTCCTAAATACGCACCAACAGACAATCTCTAAATCTGTTCACACAACCTCATGAACGGACAGCCCTACAAAGTGGTTCAGTTTCTAATCTCACTTAATCAGTGCATTACCAAGTTAGATTGTTCAACTTATTAACATTTTCTGTTTATAAAAATAATGTTGAATATCATAAAAACAAAAACATCTAGACTGTATAGAGGAAACTAAAAACCATTCAACTCTACCATCCCACATATGCAAAAACCTATTAATATTTTTATTTTTGCTTTACTCTTTGCACTTTTTAATATACTTGAAGTCATATAAACTTTAATGCTCTGCTTTTAAGATTTATTTAAGCCTTTTCCTACTGTTGCTTTTAAGTTTTAGTATTCTAAAACACAACATGAAGATATTTAGATATTTACGCCTAAATCTTTTATTGTAGTTAGCCTATATTTAACTTTTTTTTTTTTTTTTGGCAGTACTGGGGATGGAACCCACGGCCTTGAAAAGGCAAGGCAAGCGCTCCACAACTGAGTTACATTCGAAACTCCAGGATGTATTTAAATACATATTCTTACCAGATTCTCTAGCACTAAAATGATCAAATGGATTCCTTCAGATCTGGGTTTAGTAACACCATTCAAATGGGATATCTTCCTCCTGAGAATCTCTTCTCCTCTTCTGCAGGTATACTTGTCTGCATAAAACACATGCCACATTTGTGGAGACGGAATCTGGGACACGGTCAGATTGTGTTCAGTCTGGTTCACTGTCACTTTAAAGAGAAAGAAAACAGACCTTTCAAAGCAAAACTCACAATGTGTTATTGTTTTAGTCATATCACTAATTTGGGGTTAGAATCCTTTTTTTTTTTACTTTTTCTCCTCAGAAATTCCAGCCCTGGAACAAGGCATGTAAATTGTAAAAACAGATCAAATTACTGGATTTTAACCAAAGAAATCACTACAAAAATAACATGAAAAAGTACATGCGACACAAAATTAATCATTTAACCATTTTCAAGAAAACACTCTGTGGCACTTTGCACATTCACAATGCTGTGCAGGAAATCACAGAATTTTTCAGTTACTTATTTCAGTTACATTTAAAATGAAACATTCAACTTAGAAAATTATCATATCTAAAAATTATGCTTGACAATTAGTTTCAAAAGATTTTCCAAAATATTCTTCTGATTGGTCATTCTTGTATATTTTTATTGAAAAGTAGAAATATAGACGTTACAGGAATATAAAAATAGTTCCAGAACAGGGCCATACAAGGTAGTATGTCACAGTAGAGGTAAAAACTTGTGAATGTCAGCACATACAGGTCTGCATTTGAATCCTGGCTTCAGTACTTACCTGCTACGTGACCTTGTGCAGGTTACACAAGAAATGATGCCCGCTTTCTTCACGTTAAAAAAGATGAACATACAGCAAAGAGCTGATGCAAAGACACCCAGTATGAGAGGCACCCAGTATTGTCTTTGTCATAAAGTACTTGCTAAATAAAAGTTAATTCTCCTTCTCCTTTCTTTAAAATAAAGTGGTTATACTAATAAGTGGTTCTCAACACAAGGTGATCCTGCAACACTGCAGGGCATTTGAAAATTGTGTGGACAGTTTTTGTTGTCACATAGCTATGAAGATACTTGGAAAGGGGCTTTGTAGATGTCACCGTGATGCCATATAAAGAGAACTAAGTATTCCTCCTAAACGCCCATGATAACCTGTCTTGCAAGACAAAAATAATGTCCCCTATCCCTTCCAGATGTACCTACAATCCTTACCTCAAAGCACTAAGGCTATTGTAAGGCTACAGGAAAGCAGTGTCCCAAACTCAGGGATAACGAAGACTGACAGTCAGAACAGCCAATCCAGGCCTTGAGACTCGGTAAATAAATTATAGCCTCTCTGTAAACATTTCTTCAATGGTAAAATAAAGACACCTCCTCTGTCTAGCTTAAAGTTCTTCAGAGGAGCATAAGTACATGAAAATCCTAAGTGTGTTCTATACAAAATATTATTTTCCTTCTCTTTTTCTTGTGGAAGCACTAGGGTTTGAACTCAGAAACTCATAGCTTTCTAGGCAGGAGTTCTACAACTTGAGTCATAACCTCCCCCCCCCACACACCCCTTTTTTGCTTTATTTTTCAAATAGGGTTCATTCTTTTCACCTGGGCTGGCTTCAGACAATGATCCTCCTGCCTAGGCCTCCCTCACAGTTGGGATTACAGACATGCACCACACTGCCTGGCTTGTTATTGAGATGGGGTCTCACTAGCCTTTCACTTGGACTGGCCTCACTGTAATCCTTTGGATTTCTGCTTCCCAAGTAGCTGGAATTACAGGGATGCATTAACATGCCCAGCCCCAAAGCAGAATATTTTTTAAAACATAAGATTGTGCTGGGTGCCAGTGGCTCATACCTGTAATCCTAGCCATTTGGAAGGCTGAGATAGGGAGGATCGAGGTTTGAGGCCAGCCTGGGAAAATAGTTTGTGAGACCTATCTTCAAAATAATCACAGCAAAATGGACAGGAGGTGTGGCTCATCCAGTACAGTGCCCTGCTTTGCAAGCACAAAGCTCTGAGTTCAAACCCTTGCTCCACCAAGAAACAAAAATTCCCTGTGAAGAGTGTGACAAGCCCAGTTCTAGATAACTACCAACATGTCAACAGAAACATCTCGAGGCGATGGGAAATCTGAGCATGGGACAGACTGTGGAGGACATTATGGAGTTATTCACTTCCTGAGGTATGATAATGGTACCGCGTGTGACAAGCGTGTCCTTGCTCTCTGACAAGACACATTAGGTACAGAAGCTTATTATCATATGGCTCAATTAAGACAAAGACAGCACACACAGATATAAGCAAATGTAACAACATGTTAATGATCGCTGAATCCGAGCAGAGGCTATACAGATGCTGGTTGTTTTTCACTTTCAGTTTTTCTGCACACTGGAAAGGTTTCCTAACAGGAGTTGAGGAAATGTTCTGTATAAGTTCTATCTAGGAATGAGATCCAGATGGATCTAGTGAGCATTCAGATTTTGAGGACTTGGAACTTACGACTGGGAATTTTATTCATTATTTGTTAAACTAAACAATATCACAGCATTGCTTTTTTGGCTACAATAAGATAGCTAACTTTTTTTTTAATTATATGGCTTCTGAAAAAATGTAACTAAGACTCCAGTTTCTATTTTTTTTTTTTTGCATTACTGGGGCTTGAACTCAGGGCCTACACCTTGAGCCACTCTACCAGCCCTATTTTTGTGAAGGGTTTTTCGAGATAGAATCTCAGGGAACTAACTTTGAACCACAATCCTCCTGATTTCTGCCTCCTGAGTAGCTAGGATTACAGGCGTGAGCCACCGACACCCAGCTCTGTTAAACACTTTTCAAGAAAATACTACCAATAAAGGGCTCAAAGAAAAGGCTGTTTAAATGTGAAAATCTTAATTATATAATCCAGAGTTCATCATATAAAGGACCTGCTGTTCTGATTTATGACTTATACTTTTTCTCTCACATAAGACAACAGAAAAATTCACCATTATATCTTCACCAATATACCGTTTTGATATTTCATTTTAAATTATGTGGATTTACATCAAACACACAAAAATGTGCTTCATAAAATGGTATGTCCCTTGGCTTCTGTCTTGCTGTCTTTTTGGCAAGCTAGGAAGCAAGCCTCTTGACAAAACTGTGTTACTGTTTTTGAAACAAAACAGTACAGCACACAGCATATGTATTCTATACTGATGTAATTAGTACCTCAATATTAGCAAAATGTGAATTGCAAAGTGGTGTTGAATGGCTAACTGCCCGATCATATCACAAAAAGAGATGAATTATTAACCAAAACACAGAATAAAATACTAATATCTTCAAGTGATTTTTAAAATATACCAAATATATAAAAGGAGTCATATGCATACATGTAAAAAGACAATATTAAATGTTTTATATGCAACACAATGATTAGTTCCTGTAATCTAACTAAATGAATTACTTTGAATCTCACTGTTAGATTCTTTTAAGGAACATGTATATGCATCATTTTCAGTATTTTTAAATGTCTTGTTTGCTTACTTTTTTTTTTAATTGACAAAAGTTTTTACCATTAAAAAAAAAAATCTGCCAGGCATGGTAGTACACTCAGGAGAGTGAGGCTAGAAGATAGGGAGCTCAAGACTGCCTGGATTACACAGTGAGACCTTGTCCCCAACACACACACACTCCACAAACCAAAAAACCCTGGGCTGGGGCTGTGGGTCTAACTTAATGGGAGATTGCTTGCCTAGTACAAACAATCCCTAGTACCACCAAAGGGAAAAACCAAAATCAAAACCAAATCTGATGTGTTATAACATCAAAGAACAAGGAGGACTGAAAATAATCTCTCAAATATTAATTTGGAAGAATCAAGCAACATTCAAGTGCTTGGTGAAAGAATGAATGAGTGAACACACCAAAAGTGCCCACTGCTCCTGTTGGTTGGTTTTTGATAAAACAGTTTAAATGTAAAGTGGCAGTTGTGGTAAGTACTGTGCAGGAAAGCAAGAGACTATAAACACTGAGGTGTTAACTTAGTGTTGGAGGGAGCAGAAGAGCAGAAACTGAAGAGGAAAAGCCCATGTAAAGGTCCAGAGTAGCAATGAGATACAATGAGCACCACAAATAAAAGTGAGGTGGAAGATGAAACTGTAGTGTAAAGTAGCAGGCAGCCCAGGAAGGCTTTGCTGATCTTGTTCCAAACCTGCTTTCTTTGTGGTATTGGGGCTTGAACTCAAGGACTTGGGCTTGTTAGGCAGGCAATCTACTACTTGAGCCACTCCGCCAGCCCATGGTTTTTTTAGCCACTGTTTTGTTTTCTTTGGCGGTACTGGGATTTGAACTTCGAGCCTGTTTTTGTCCTAAGGGCACTAGAAACTACTCAAGTATTTCAATAATGTGGTGAGAAAGTGAATTGTATTTAGAAGGATCCCTCTGGTTACAGAAGGGGACCAGTGTAACAGTAGAGTGGCCAGGCAGAAGGCAATTGGTCAAGCATGAGAGTATTGCAGCTTGGCAGCTTGGAATAAACATGGTAGGGTAGAGAAAACAAAGTAGATGAATTCAAGCAATATTTAGAAGTACAACCTAAGGATCTACTGGTAGACTTGAAAGCAGGGAGAGAGGTCAAATAGGGGAGTTCAAAAAAGATTCCTTGGTTTCTCATCTGCTTACTGCATGGATAATGGTGCTAGTTCCTGAAACAGGAACCACTGGAAGAAGAGTAGGTTTGGATGGAGAAGACAGGGAGGTCAGTTTGGATGTTTTAATAACTGGGAACCAAATGATGTGAACTTTTATGCATATGTCAAACAATGAGATGAGCAAATTGGTCAGAAAACTGATAGTGAGCATTTGTTAATTTCTCAGGTAAGTTCTGAAATTCAGAGTTGAGGTAGATAACTTTACATAACTGTCTCTTTGATAACTGAATCTAATCATTCAGATCTCTTCAGCACACTGTGTCATCTCACTATCTAGATAAGAAATACCCATAATGGACAGCAAGGATTAGAGACATCCACTTTTATCCTTGCTCTGCCTAGTTGCCTTAGAGGGAATCAGACAGCTGCTTAGACTGGATGTTTAGAAATGGGAGTGTTTGGTTGGGTGTGGGGGAGCATACCTATAATCCCAGCTACTCAGGAGAAGCAGGCAAGGAGGATCTTAAGAGGCCAGGTGAGGCAAGGTTAGTAAGACACTATCTCAAAAAACAAAAGGGACAGAGGCATGGCTCCAATCTGAGTGCTTGCCTGGCAAGCTTGAGGTCCTGAAATCAATCCTCAATAGCATAAAAGCTAAAGGGGGGGGGGGGAAATGAGGGTGTTTTACTTGACTAAGTTAAAAGAACCTATCATATTCCCACATATGGATGAGTCTTTGAATAACAGGGAAAAGAGGGAAAGGGATAAAATGGGCAGAATGGCACAAGCACTTTATTTCTAAATTAGAAAAGCTCTGCATTCACTCTGATTGGCTAATACCCTAATTCATGCTGATTTTTTTTAAAAAAGATGAGAACAAGGATTTAAGCCACTAGCTTAGGACAAAGAAAATAGAGCTTCTCCTGAAGCAATCCCTGAGGTTTCTAAATGATTTCAGGCAGTGACATATTTTGTCACCCTACATCTAAGTCTCATCCTTCAATGCCATTTTGTAAAACACCATCATTTGGTGTTTGGGCTATGTTGTGTGATTAACTGAAATAATACATGCTTAGCTCAGTGCTGGAAGATAATATACATTCACGAAATGTTATCATTCAGTCCATGCTGTAACCAGATAATGTGTATCTATCATATTAGCATGACCTATGCAAACTGTAGAGTTTAAATGAAGGAAAGAACTCCTTTATAAACTATCTGGATAGTTTTTTTTTTTAAATTGAATGATAGAGGGGGAAAAGGCATTCTATCTTTTGAACAAGGAAAGATTAGCTTACCTAAAATTCAGCTTAGAACATACTAGCCCAAGTGTCAGCACAGTGTAATGTATACTGTCATGAAACATTTTAGTCTATCTATGTGTGTACTCTATTATTCTTCAGCACTGTGGGAGAAAAATCTTATCTAATGGTCAAAGAAAAAAAGAATATACTTACTTGTCAACTGAGCTCTGGATAATTTTTCACTACAACTATAACGAGGACTACTCTCCTGCAGCTTTAGCCATTCCTGGGCTTGGAACAGGTAAAGTTTAGCTTCTTTTTCAACAGCTACTGCTAAGTTGTTGATTCTGACACACAGGAGAGCATGGTCACCTTGACATGAAAACAAATATTATCAGCTAGTTAGGTCCTATATAAAACTGAGAAAGTAGGACAACTCAACACCTCTATTTACCAAAATGGGTATTTAAAATCCACAATTTTTCTTAAATCCCACTTAACTAGGTAAATCACAGAAGAATGAACGTCACATTCAGATGAAAGAGATTACTCAAATTAACATGTGGTTTATCCTTACAATTTAGCTGATAACGGCAATATTTCATGGGTTTGAACACTCGCTGTTATAAAATTTTTGACTCATGTTCTTCACTGCACGTCTTTTACATCTTTTACGTTTATTTATAAACTACAGAGATTTCTTGTGAAGTTTTTTTTATATACATGGCTGTTAATATTTACTTATTCTTAATGTACAAAATATGTATAGATAATAACCAGAAAGTTTATATGAATGTGCTTGGAGTTGCAAATTTTGCACCTGAAGCAAAATTTTACATCTGTGACTTTTACAAAAGAACTTTCAGAACAGTATACATTAGGCAATTAACAAAGAATGAGCCCAGGTGCACACAACTACAGTGAAGATCCAATCCAAAATGGCAAAAGGTAGATGCCTCTAGGGAAAGGGACTCTAGGTAGGGAGAGGTGAAGTAGGAGACAGTTTTTCATTTTAAGATCTTCTATTCTCTTAGGGTTTTAAAAACCTTTGTTGTTAGAATGATTGTTTTGATTAAGCACTTTAGAAAATTTAAAGTTTAATATACATAAAAAGTGTCTGAGTCTGTTAAGTTATATTATAAATTAAGTCTTCAAAGTGAATTTTACTGGGGTTTAAACTCAGGGCCTCACACTTGTTAGGCAGGTTCTCTACCATTTGAGCCACTGCACCAGCCCCTTTTTTCTGTTTTGTATTTTCAAGACAGGGTCTCAAGAACTATTTGCTCAACCTGGCCTGGAATCACAATCCTCCTGATTTCTGCCTTCTGAGTAGCTAGGATTACAGGCATGAGCCACCAGAGCCTGGCTTAAAAGTGACTCTTAAAGTCCTATTAACTCCTTAAACTGCATTTTGAGTTCTAGTTCATTATTTCATTATAGTGTTAGTATAATTATTTTACTGAATTGGAATTCACTGAACACTGACAATAAATATGAGACTATAATTAGCTATTATATACATATAATATATGAAAGACAGAAAATACACTTGGAACATCCTGTCCCCAATCTGTCCTGAGGAATCTCGTTTTGGTACACTTCTCTGTTTCCCAAGCAGTCATCATGAACGACCAGGGCTAACTAAGCATGTCTGCTAGTCAAGAAAAACAGCACAAGTCACAAGTACACACCCCCTAATTTCCCAGACTATCCAGATGGTGCCATTTATTATCATGACATTACCATCACTGTCAGTACTGTGTCCAAAACATACCGTTACAGTGAGTTGATCAAGAAACTGCAAATGTGACAAAAATATCAACAAACCTTTTAAAGGGTCTCTGCTTACACTGGAGTTTGGAAAACTGGGTTACATTTCTTACAACTCTTAGAAACTCTTGAAAAAAATCAGGCTCCCCTCCCTTTTAACCAGAATTCTGTAATTTCCTAGGACTTTAAAGGCCTTTCCCACACCAAAATAGCTTTTTTTTTTTCTATTATCTTCCCCTAAGAATCCTTTCTAGATCAATATTCTGATCTCAACAGTCACAACTTTAAATGCAACTAAAGACTATATAAACCAAAGATCCCAACTGGGAATTTAGGCTAAAAATTTTATTAGCCTATTATAGTGGGGGTACACTGTGACATTTACAAAAGTGCTCAAAATATACCTTCGATTCACCCCCTCAAAGACCCTAACTTCATTATTTGAAATATAGTGGCAGTCAAACTGAGCAGCAAGAAAAACAGTGAACTTTGAAGGGTTTACATCAATGAGACAAAAAGTGGACCGGACTGCAAATTCATTCATTAAAAGAGTATTGATTTTTGAGGGACACCAGTAAGAAGGAATCAATGAAGCTGTGATTCAGCCGGGCCAAAGAGAATGATCAACTATGAAATTTCCAAGTCATGCATCCCATCAATCTAATTAGTGTCACTACAGCGTGCCGACAGTGACATCGTGCCGGCAGTGACGACACCGTGCCGGCAGTGACACCGTGCCGGCAGTGACGACACCGTTCTGGCAGTGACACCGTGCCTGCAGTGACGACACCGTTCTGGCAGTGACACCATGCCGGCAGTGACGACACCGTGCCGGCAGTGACGACACCGTGCCGGCAGTGACACCGTGCCGGCAGTGACACCGTGCCTGCAGTGACGACACCGTGCCGGCAGTGACGACACCGTGCCGGCAGTGACGACACCGTGCCGGCAGTGACACCGTGCGGCAGTGACACCGTGCCGGCAGTGACGACACCGTGCCTGCAGTGACACCGTGCCGGCAGTGACACCGTGCCTGCAGTGACACCGTGCCGGCAGTGACGACACCGTGCCTGCAGTGACGACACCTTGCCTGCAGTGACACCGTGCCGGCAGTGACGATACCGTTCCGGCAGTGACACCGTGCCTGCAGTGACGACACCGTGCCGGCAGTGACACCGTGCCTGCAGTGACACCGTGCCGGCAGTGACACCGTGCCTGCAGTGACAACCGTGCCGGCAGTGACGACACCTTGCCGGCAGTGACGACACCGTGCCGGCAGTGACGACACCGTGCCAGCAGTGACATCGTGCCTGCCGTGACACCTGCCTCAGTGACACACCGTGCCTGCAGGACACCATGCCGGCAGTGACGACACCCTGCCGGCAGTGACACCATGCCGGCAGTGACGACACCGTGCCGGCAGTGACACCGTGCCGGCAGTGACACCGTGCCTGCCGTGACACCGTGCCTACAGTGACACACCGTGCCTGCAGTGACACCATGCCGGCAGTGACGACACCGTGCCGGCAGTGACGACACCGTGCCTGCAGTGACTACACCGTGCCGGCAGTGACACCGTGCCGGCGTGTGACACCGTGCAGGCAGTGACGACACCGAGCCGGCAGTGACGACACCGTGCCTGCAGTGACGACCGTGCCTGCAGTGACGACACCGTGCCGGCAGTGACACCGTGCCTGCAGTGACACCGTGCCTGCAGTGACACACCGTGCCTACAGTGACACCCCGTGCCGGCAGTGACGACACCGTGCCGGCAGTGACACCGTGCCGGCAGTGACGACACCGTGCCGGCAGTGACACCGTGCCGGCAGTGACGACCTGTGCAGCAGTGACGACACCGTGCGGCAGTGACACGTGCCTGCAGTGACACCGTGCCGGCAGTGACACCGTGCCTGCGTTGACACCGTGCGTCAGTGACACCGTGCCGGTCAGTGACGACACCGTGCCGGCAGTGACGACACGTGCCGTCAGTGACAGCGTGCCTGCAGTGACACCGTGCCTGCAGTGACGACACGTGCCGGCAGTGACGACACCGTGCCGGCAGTGACGACACCGTGCCGGCAGTGACACCGTGCGCAGTGACAGCGTGCCTGCAGTGACACCGTGCCGTCAGTGACAGCGTGCCTGCAGTGACACCGTGCCGTCAGTGACACCGTGCCGGTAGTGACACCGTGCCTGCAGGCGTTACCAACTGGTCTTGACCACAAAGGGAGGGAGACGGCGGCCGGGTCCCGGTCGCCCGCCCAGGCGGCTCGCCGAAGCCCGCGCGTGCACAGCCTGGAGCCTGGGGCCGGCGAGCGCGCTTCCTCGGGAAGGACACGCAGGACGCCGCGGCCCGGGCTGGGGCATCGGAAACGGGCTTGGGGTGCCGAGGACATCACTGTCCGCCGAGGCTGCTGCAGTCAACGCGTCCCCCACGGCCCGCAGCTGCGGGGGAGTGGCGGGAGCGCTGCCGCCGTGCTGCAGGTCCAGGTGGGGTGCGGGGGAGGGGCTGAGCGCCGCCGTCCCCCTTCCCCCCTCCCACCCCACTACCGGGACGGCCCGCGAGCCTCCATCCCGCTTCCTACCCCCGACCTACCATGGAACTCGAAGTGGCCGATGCTCTGGCCCTGAGCGTCTTGGGCTGCGGCGCTGCTGAAGCTGCCCCGCAACGTTTTACTCTGGCTGCCCTGTGGCCACCAGCAGCACGTGAGGGCTACAGCCAGCAGCCGAAGTCCCCCCATCCTCCGCCTCCAGCTTTACACCCACCCAGGGCTCCCAACAGCCTGCGGCCGTCAGCCCCACGTCGGCAGCTGGGGGAGGGGAGGGGCTAGCGCGGGAGCCTCGGGAGACTGTCAGCCAATGAGACGAGACGCCTCTGCCACGAGCCAAGCATACTCACCAATCACAGGCCGAAGTGGGCGGGACGTGAAGATCCGTGCGTCCCATCACTGCGTTGCCCTTGGCTAGTTCCCGCCTTTTTTAAATGGAGAAGCCGGAGGATGTTGCTTCAGGTTACTGAATATTATCGGCCTCATTGCCCCTGCGCGGCAGGCCACTGCGCATGCGCACGCGCGGCAACTGGACCGTGGGAGCTTTCCCGTGGCCAAGTGGGATGCAGAAAGCACTAGGGAACTCGTGGAAAGAATACTCACAGTTGGAACCATTCCTTGGTCTCTACAACCTACTGGACATGTCCACCCACTTTAATGTCTCAAAGATACTTCACTGCTCTTGGCACCCAACCCGTTTTTCCTTCCTAGGTTCGCGGTCTTTACTTCTCTTCTTTTCCCATTACTTCCCCCAGTCCCAACGCGGTCGAGGGCGCCTCTGTCCGCGCCCAAGCCCGTGGGGAGGCAGAAGCCGCTCAGACCGCCCCATACTCGACCTGACCCGCGATTGACCCGAGTCCCTCACTGCCCTGTAAGATCCAGCTGACCAGAGACCATGACTGCCGTGGTGAAAGTGGGGACTCAACTTTATCTCGCAAATAAATGTACATACGTTATTTTCATTCAACAATAAGACTGTATAACATAAAAGTAAGTTCTTACCACATACTTCATTTTTAAAAACAAATAGGAACATCTCCTTTCATATACCAACATTTTCAGTATCTCTGAGTGACCAAATAGACTCCAGGCATTAATATGTGGGATTTAAGAAATGTACTAATTCTTTTTTATTATGAGTAATTTACGCAGCTTACAAAAACTCACAAACTGTATAAAATAAAATTGAGGTTCCTGCTTCCTCTTTTCCTGTCCAGATCCAATACCTAAAGGAAACTTTGGTAATGTTTAAGGTGGATCTTTTCACTTGAGCCTCCAGTACTTTTGAGTTGCTATAGGAGCCTGTGAACTAACTTAGTATATGAACAAACTGCAATATAATAAGGGTGTGTTCTCTACTAAGTAGCTGAGTCTCAGCTCAGCTGGGGGCTTAAGACAGTGGAAGTGCCCAGCTGATCAGAGGGTGTAGGTATATGGCAGGTGCATTGTTGCACCACATCAGATAAAACATCTTGGAGCAGTAATCAATCAAGCTCTTTCTGAATGTCACTTCTTAATGTCTGTAAATGCTGCCTGCCCATGTTGCTTGCTGGAGTTCTCTGAACCGTTCCTTCTTCTATTTCCCAATTCATGACTCATTCCTTGCCCAAAGAAATTCTGCTTAATTAATTTAATTTGTTCAAGTTATTCCTTTTAATAGTGTTATTTGTAAGCTAAGAATGGAGATTAAATTGGTCCTGAAGGAAAAGCAGAACATGGGTCTCAAATGCTGTGATCTTTCTCCTTGTGTCTTTTGTCTTTCTTCTGTTCTTGATCAGCTTTGTCTTTCTCTTTTGATTCCTCAGTTCATTTGAAAGAATATGGTCACTAACAATTTTCAAATTCATAGTTCCTCAGAGTTCAAGAAGAGCAACCAAACTATATTAAAATCCTAATTCAATTTGAAGCCCAAAGAGAGGCTTGAATTCACTTAGGGTAGTCAGATACCCGATCTGTGAACTGTTTGAAGTGGATCAACTTGGGGAGATCACAAAAGGTGGGGGATTTCAATCAAGAAAAAAATATCTACTTCAATATATTTTGGTCCTCAATCCATGATAGTACAATATTATGAAAGGCTATATAACACCCTATTGTATTTTAAACGTTAGATGATCATATACATATTTTAACTGCATCCAATTTTTCCTTAATAACCAATACAGTAATGAACAATTATCAATACTATACTTCATGGAGTTTGGGGGTCACAGTATATGCATTTGAACTGTTCTTATGTATTATGACTTTTCCCTCAAAAAAGTTTGTAAAAATGACTAGCTGTGGTGATGCACTCCTGTAATTCCAGCACTTTGGAGGCCAAGGTAGGATAATCATTTAACCAGCCTGGGCTACATATTAAAACCCTGAAAAATAAATGAATAAAAATTTTTAAAGTTTGCCACAGATGATAACTTCCACGTATATGTATATTCCCGTTGTTTAGGCTTTAGTAAAATGCTATGAGGAATAAAAAAGGTTTATCCGTTGGACGACAATTTACTGATTGTGCCCGGTCTGGTTCTAGAAATTTGGGATTATAGAAAGCAACAAAAAGCTCCCAGCTTCATGGAGCAGAGACAGGGAACGATGACCTCATCACCCTGGGTGCTGATCAGTGTTATAAAGGAAAACAAGGTGGGTGAGACGGCTCTTCACGGTAGAATACAGCTCGCTACTTTAATTGGATGGTCAAGGAAGAACGCTAACAGGATCACATTTAAGCTGAGAACTGAAAAACAGGGGGTAAAAACGAGGCAGACATCTGAGGAAAGGGCACCCAGGCCTTTAAAAGTAGCATGCGCGGGCAATTTGAGCAAGAGCAGGGAAGACCAGGAGGCTGGGCGGAGCGAGCACAGGGAGAATAAGAAAGTCTCAGGGTAGGGTCTAGGGAACATCTTTGTCGTGACTGCAAGTCGCCTGTGCTGTCTGCAATCATATTAACAACAGTAAAATACAATTTTGCAATCACAACCTCCCTTTTCCATAATGCACAAAGAGAATTCCTTGGGTCTCCTCCATTCAACAGGTGCATACTCTCTGGAGATGGCAAAAGAAGGAAAATAAGTCACTCATTCATAATGCTGAACTTCTGTGTATCTAAGCACCGCCTAACCCATGCTGGTGACCCTTGTCTATAAAAACGTTCCAGACTCCACCGCCCGGGCCGCAGGCATTGGCCAAGGCATCTGCGCCTGCGCGGTGCTGCGTGGCCCCCGCTCCACCCCGCCTCGCTCCGCCCCCCAGTGGGCGGGGAGAAATCGGCTTCGGCGGCCACTGTCCGGAAGCTGCAGCCGAGTTTCCCGTAACGTGTACTGGGAGGGGGGAGGGGGGGCGGACAAGGAGTGTCGCAAAAGGTCGTGGTGGTACTTCTCTCTGGTCGTCACACCCGGCGCTTTACGGTGCTGGGCACTGCCAAGCTGGGCGATGTCGGCGGCGGTACTGGCGGAACCCCTGGGTCCTGGCAGCTTTGCGAAGCGGGTCCTGGTGACCGGGGGTGCTGGTTTCATGTAGGTAACCGCGCCACTGGCCGAGCAGTTTCTCCCCAGAACCCCTAACCTTTTCCTGCGGCTCTGTTTGCCTTTGGCAGTTTGGGTTCAGCTTTGGGGGGTCTGGAGGTTCCGAATGCACGACCCGGACCGCGGAGACGCGGTTCCTTTGCGACTTGTTTAAAACGCACGAGTTGTTGTGGTACTGCCCCCTCCTACCCGGCCCGAGATGCTTAGCACCTATCACTATGGCAGCAGAATCTCCATCTGCTTCCTACCCTCAGTGCAGGCCTCCCACCCGCCCACAGGGACGTTTTCTTCTCCCAATGATTGGGGACCACGATAGGACTTACTTACTCAGCGTATCCTTAAACACCCTTTCTGACAACCTGCCGGAGTGTTTGTTGCTTCTGCCTCAGATTCGATCAGCAATCCTCTCTCTACTTCTAAAGTATATTCGCAGTGCGTCTGCTCCTTACCAATGGCCCCCGTCCACCTTAAGCCCTTCTTTTGCCTGAAATACTGCTGTTGCAGTATTCCCTTAGTCTGCCCCCCACACAAGTCAGTGTTTAGGTTTATCGGATTTTGTTAATGCATAGCATTTTACTCCAGTAGTTCCGTCAGACTTCAGCTCCAAACTCCAGCATATGTAGAAGACTCATGCACTCAAGCCCTGCTTTTCCAACTCGATTTCATTGTTTTCTGTACCTGCCACACTTACCTTCCTAGGTCCTTGGAGCACACAAGGCTAGTCTTGAGGCCTTTGTACTTCTCCTTTACTTAGGCTGTTTGTGCTGCTCAATTGAGGTGTTTACCTGACCACCCGATCTGAAGTAGCCCATCTCCCAAGTATCTCATCTAGCTCTGACCTGAATGTATATTGCGTATTTGTGCTCACATGTTCGTTGCCTGCGTTCCTATTGTAAACTGTCATCTCCATGAGGGCGGACGCTAAGCACCTGGAAGAATGCCTGGCCCATTTTGTGAAGGTCTTCAGTAATTGCTGAATGGATGAATGCATGAGTACTAAGCAGGAAACTCCTACCCTCAGGGAACTCAAGTGTCCAGTGAGAGGAGATGGAATGTGGAGTTCTTATGTATTGCTCAGTTGCCCCATTAATTCATCATTTCTAATCTGACAGTCAGTTGGGGGAGAGTACCAGGCAGGCAAGATTCACTTAATGAGGAGTATGGATATGAAAGTGTGTTCCATGTGTGAGAGTGCTGGTCCAGGAAGGGTATGTTCTGGAAAATGCTGTGAAACAAATTTTGACTTCACAATTTGGTCAAGGCTTGCACTTACTCCTTGGAGTCCAACATCTTAAGTAAGTTACAGAATCTGCTAGATTTTCTCACTGAGATATGCCTCTGGTTCTACTTCAGAAGCCCTGGAACCATGGCAAATATCCATCTCAGGATGTCTTCAACCATTATTATCTTGGGAAACCTCAGTTTAGTTCAGGATCATCCTGACTATTTTCATTTACACCATCAAATTCTTGTATCAAGAGGCAGCAGTTGCAGAAGTTGCTATAAAGACTACTCAAACTGATCTAAAGTTTCTTTTTTGGTGTTGGGGTTTTTTGGTGGTACTGAGGTTTGAACCCAGGGCTTTGCACTTGCTAGACAGCTACTCTACCACTTGAGCTAGGCCTCCAGCACATTTAGCTCTGATTATTTTGGAGAGAAGGTCTTATTTTTTGCCCAGGCAGATCTGGAACTGCATCCTTCTGATCTCAGCCTCTGGTGTAGCTTGGGGTGATGAGCATGCATCACTAGCATCCGTTCTGATTAAGTTGTTGTTGGGTTTTTTTTTTTTTGTGGGACTGAGGTTTAAACTCAGGGCTTTGCAACTTGCAAAGTAGGAGTATACTGCTTGACCCACACCTCCAGTCCATTTTGCTCTAGTTATTTTGAAGATGAAGTTTCTCTATTTGCCTGGGTTGGCCTCAAACCTTGATCCTCCTGATCTCAGCCTCCCACATAGTTAGGGTTGCAGGCGTGAGCCTCTGCACCTAGTTGGTTTAGTTTTTTTGTTTGTTTGTTTGTTTTTAATATCTACTGTTCCTGTAAAGGCATGGTGTAGTTTCAGTAGTCCTTCTGACTAGCACCCATTATACTTTTCATTCTGATTTACTCTCGCTGGATGCAGTGACAACATCATTTGGTTAAATTAATTTTTTCTTTATATCCAGCATCAGTGAATTCTCTCTCCTACATAGTGTAACGAGAGTGTGAGACAAGGGGATTGGACTTTGAGCACATGATAAAAGAGAGAGCACACAAGGGAGGGGTGAGGATAGGTAAGACACCTAAAAAATTAGCTAGCATTTGTTGCCCTTAATGCAGAGAAACTAAAGCAGACACCTTAAAAGCAACTGAGGCCAATAGGAAAAGGGGACCAGGAACTAGAGAAAAGGTTAGATAAAAAAGAATTAACCTAGAAGATAACACACATGCACAGGAAATTAATGTCAGTCAATGCCCTGTATAGCTATCCTGATCTCAACCAGCAAAAACCCTTGTTCCTTCCTATTATTGCTTATACTCTCTCTTCAACGAAATTAGAGATAAGGGCAAAATAGTTTATGCTGGGTATTTAGGGAGTCGGGGGGGAGAGGGAGGGGGCAGAGTGGGGGTGGGGGCAGGGGGGAGAAATAACCCAAGCCTTGTATGCACATATGAATAAAAAAAAAAAAAGTCAAAAAAAAAAAAAAAAAAAAGGGAGTGTGAGAGTTAGTTTATAGATACTGTTGAGAAGTTTGGTCCAAAATGTTCATATATTCAGTGTACTTACATTATTTCTGTTATCTTGGAAAAATTTAAAGTTATCTTTGAATATTTTTCTAATACTCAACAGCTTAGAAAGACATTCAGGAATCTAAAAAGATGAAAGTTTTCCACTCACATGATGTACTTTCTTCTTCTAGTGCATCACACGTGATTGTCTCTTTGGTGGAAGATTATCCAAACTATATGATCATAAATCTAGACAAGGTGAGTTTTATAAAAATTAACCTGTTGCCCTGAAATTACCTGCCAGTTCAATTATGTTTTTTTAAAAGTACTAAATCCTGTTTTTTATTTAGTAATTTTAGCCACTTAGGGGTCTGTATAGTCATGTGTTCATGCTGTATTTAACCTATGTAAGATCTTTTGACACTCACCTATTATGGTAACTCATAAAGTACAATTGTTTGGGTTTTTGTACTTTTTTTTTTTGGGTGCTGGGGCCCAAACCCAGGGCCTTGCACCTGCTAGGCAAGTGCTGTACCACTGACCTACATCTCTAGCCCTTGTGTTTTTTGAGATAGAGTTTCACTATGTAGCTCATTCTGGCCTCAAACTTGATATCCTCTAGCCTCTGCCTCCCAAGTGCTAGGATTAAAGGAATGCACTACTCCACCCAGGAAATATAGGTTTAAGGGCAGTATTTTTACAAAAATTCAATATTTAGTGTAACATTGTGATTGCTAGTCTTTTTTTTAATGTTGATGTGCTTTATTTAATTTAATTATTTAACTATTTGATTTTATAATTGTCACTTCCTGGCAAATTATGTATTTTTAAAGATTAAAATGCAATTTAATTAATTTGGTTTTGAGACTGTGCAGCAATAATTGGAGTCTCTCTGAAGGCCATGATTGGTAGACATTGGACTTTTTGGTTAAACAGAAGATGCAATAGGGCCTTAGTTTTATTTTCAATCCCTAGTTCCTTTTCTGTCAAGAATAGTAAACTTTTCTAGCCACCAGTGACTGCAGGCAAGTTTGGGCAGGGATGTTTTTTAAAGTAGAAATTTATAAAAAGGTTAATTTGGGGGTTCATTCGGAAAAGGTAACAAAGTGTTTATTTTTATTTTTTTTTATTTTTAAGATGTCAGAAGCTTAAAATGTGTGAAAACACAGCAAGCACATGAAGACATATTATTGTGTTAGTCTTTAACATCTGTAGTTTAAAATAAATTGCTATGTTATAGAAAAAGCTAATACCACTTTGTTATCTCCTGCCACACTCTCATGTTTCAAGCTGGATTATTGTGCAAGCTTGAAGAATCTTGAAACCATTTCTAACAAAAAAAACTACAAATTTATACAGGTATGGAAGTTGCTTTTTTTAAATATATATATAATTACTGTATTGTGACTCTTTAGTCATGCAGAATTATCTTTCTACATTAGAACTTGCATGAAAGGGTTTGGAAGGTGTGCTTATTAAGACCTTTTAAAAGATCAGATAGTTAATTTCCAGAAGGAGTACATGGTATAGACAAAATTATCTAAACAAGTCTATGAGGAACTGACTGAATTTACATGCTTTGTAATTTTGGGTCTTCACTAGCTCTTTAAGTAACGCCTTTCTGGGATTTGAGTGGTCCAGTATAATATGTGGTGGTGGTCTATAAGGTACACTAAACAGTGTAGAGTCTTGGGGCAGTCTTCCTCGTGAGGCCCGTTGTCTGGAGAACTGGTTGTCTTTTTAACTCAAAAACTTAATGTCCCTAAACAACCATTTGGTAATTCTGTTCTGTGAAAAGCGTTTTCTTCAGTTGCTGAAGATTTGTTGAGAATTCATATTTTTAGATGATTAAGTCCCATATTAAATCAAAAGTACCACAATTTTTGCTTACTTGTGGCAAAATATGTTCTCCTATTTCATTCCAGTTATTACACTTTAAATGTGTTTCAGTAATGGTGCCATCAGAGGTTTGCTTTTAATGCTAAAAAAAATTTCCTAACTGATATCTTTAAGCTAGGAAGAATGTGAAAGAAGCTAGCAGAATATTTAGCAGTACTTGGTGCTCAATAAATACTTTTTTTTCACTTATTGGAAGATATCTTTTGGATTGAATATCAATATTCAACATCATTACTATACTTGCTGTACTACTTATCTGAATGTTTAAGGTTTCCGTATTGAATGGGGGATGTATAGAAATGGGGTAAAATGTTAAAGTAAAAATGGTTACTGTGAATAAGAGTGCAGAAAGAACCCTAAGCTTCTGTTTGCTTTTTCACCTAGGGTGACATAATGTGATTCTCACTTTGTGAAAGTGCTTTTGAAACAGAGAAAGTAGACATAGTTCTACATTTCGCTGCACAAACACATGTAGGTAAGAGTACTTTTATGTTACAGTTGTCATTGGTGATTTTCTCCACAGTGGATAACGCTTTTTAAGTTCAGAGTCCAGTAACGGGGTTAAATTAAAATACATGCTGTACCCGAAAACAAGCCCATGATCATAACACCATTGATAGATTCGGCACTTTTCCATCAATTTTGTTAGTGGGGGTTGAAATAAAACTGGAAAGTATCTTAAAAATTCAAGTTAACCAAATTTAGGTTAGTGATTATTTCTGAAGAGGGAATGAGGAAGTGGGCTTCCAAAATGTATTTTTTTGTGTTGTTTTTCTTGAGTGGTGGGTACACAGATGAACGGGATACTGTTATCTGTACTGTTTTGTGCATTTGAGATACTTTCTAATAATTAGTCTAGAGTTTTTACTGTGAAGTGTGACATGTCCCCAGAAACAATTAGAAGCACATTAAATAATAACGTGAGTCCCATGTAGCCTATCACCCAAAAGGAGAAGCTCCCAATCCTCTTTGGTACTAACTATGGGAGTTTTTTACTGTGAAGTGTGACATGTCCAGAACAAATTTAGAAGCACATTAAATAATAACGTGAGTACCCATGTAGCTATCACCCAAAAGGCAGAATGCTCCCAAATCCTCTTTGGTACTAACTATGGTGTCTGCAGGTGTCTGCAGGGTGTGGTTCCAGGAGAGCACTATTGCTTAGGATGCAGAGTTCAGTGCCATACTGTGGGTGCTTGATTTACTTTTCCCATACGCCCCCCAACTTCTACTAAAGCCACACCGCCTTTTGACAGATCTAAAATCTTCACTTTATCGCTTCCGTGAAGCACATTGCGTTCTCTTTTTGGCATAACTTTCACTTTGCTTTCTGGGCACTATTTGCTTTTTTTTTTTTTTTTTTGGCAGCACTGGGGTTTGGACTCAGGATCTCATGCTTGCTAGGCAGGCGCTGTACCTCTTGAGCCCCACCATTTGCTTTTTAGGAGGGAAATTTTGACAAAATAAAAGGCAAGGAAGTGCTCAGCAGGTCACACAATGATTTAAACACACCTGACAAGAGCACAGGACTGTCAGAGCTTCACATCAGCTGAGCTTAGGCGAACTGTTGCAAGTATCATGCATGGGAATTAAAAGTTTTTCATCTAAAATTTCTTCTTTTTTTTTTTTTTAAATTTATTATTGTTTTGACCATTCTTGGTCAAATACTGTATGTGATAAAAGCCTGTGGAATAAGGCGGGCTTACTGTAGTCCAATACTGCCTCTGCCTGATACAAATTGATGGTTTCCTTTGGCTTCCTGCAGTTTTGCTGTTTTTATGTATATTAACCCGCTAAACATCTGGTAGTTTAATTTCTTTGGCTGCTTTAAAATTTTGTATAAAATAAATATGTATTAGTTTTGAAAATCTCATGTAGTTGTTGTTTTGTCTTGGGAACTTTTTTAAAAATCCGCAGGGGAGGATTCATCCAATGTAGTCTGGGTTATAGGTAATAGGTTTTTCATTTTTCATTGCTGTATAATTACTGCATTCCTTTCAACATTAAGATGAGCACTATTTCTTTTGAAGATAAAACTGTTTTTTTTGGAACTAATAAAATATATACTAATTTCTTGGCCCCTCTAGGAATCTCGGGCTTTCTCTCAGATTTCAACAAACGCTCAGTTTTTGTCAGATAGGTTTCGGTTTTGTCACTCTTAGCACTGGTTAATGCCGCTCTCTCAATGTTTTCTTTTTTTTAGATTCGCCATTTTCCCGGGTGGGGACTTGCCTGAAGAAATGAAAAATGAGTTTACTTTTTATAATTTTTTTGCGTGATTTGCGGAGAGTTGGATGTCTTCATTTGAGGAACGCTTTGTTGAAGTCGTTGTGATCATTGTGTTGTTTAAGGTGAAATGCCTTTTCTCTGTGATAAAACATTTTTCTCAGTATCTCGTGCATTGAAAGGGACTATTTTCCTAATGAGAAGCAGACAGCAGTAATGTCTACGTTTCTAGAGAGTTGAAACTTTATCTTTGTCACATAATCTTCTTCCTTTAGTGATTGAAGACTGACTTGATCAGTATTTTGCCTTGTGTCACCAGCGTCTCATGTCTGGTTTTTCTTTTTTTGCAGTACTGACTTGAACTTCAGGGGGCCTACACTTTGAAGCCACCATCCACCCAGACCCTTTTTTGTGTTATATATTTTCGAGATGGGGTCTCATGCGCTATTTTGGCCAGGCTGGTCTGTCGAACCATTAATCCTCCTGATGTCTGTCTGCCTGAGTAGCCAGGATATTATAGACGTGAGCACACCTGGGCGTGGGCGTGGTAGCCTGCTTCTCATTCTTGTTTTTTATGTCGCTCTTTTTATTGTCCAACCCTCTTTCTACCCCCCTTTATATGGTTTTTTAACTGCATTTCTAACAAACATGGTACTTTGGCATTTGGGTTTTTTTAAAGTTCCCATTCTGAACCAGCACTTGACATTTATACTGTCCTGCTTGCCTTGTTTTTAAGGACTTGGCTGAGGAGTTTTTCTTACTCTCTTTTCTTTCTCTCTAATACTTGAGAGGAATATTTATATATGTCTGTTTGTTATTCTTTCGAGAGTTTTACCTTAGACATTACACGATGTGTAATGTAGCTTATAAAAGTGCAAATGTAAAAAGCCATCGAAAACCTTTGCCCTCCTTCCCAGTAGGACACTTTAAGTTCCAGTATTTGTTTTTTCTAAGTTTGTTTTTATTTAGTTTTTTTTAGCAGTATTGGGTTTGAACTCAGGACCTTGCGCTTGCTGGGCAGATGCTGTACCTCTTGATCCTCAACCCTACTCCTTTTTGATTTAGGTATTTCTTGAATAGTGTTTCACATTTATGCCCAGAATGCTCTGAACTGCAGTCCTCCTGTTCACACTTCCCACATAGCCAGGATTACATGTGTGTACCACTACACCCAGCTTTTTGCTGGTTGAGATGGTCTCTCTCGAACTTTTTGCCTGGGCTGACCTTGAACTGGTATCCTTCTGATCTCTGCCTTGTGAGTAGCACAAGTAGACAGGTATGAGAGACCACCACCCAGCCCTGTTTTGATCTGAAGTTTAAGGTCTGTCTTGTTTAAATTTGTCTTTTAGCACCCATGAGATAACATTCTTATTATTTCATATAATCAATATTACTGTTATAGGTAGTTGATATTCATGTATATCAGAGCTTTGCCAATGGTATTCTAACTAAATAATTTATTTTTCTTTTATATCTGGAATAACTATGTTTAAGCAGGTTTTCCATATAAATAATTACGATTAATAATTATTGAGATATAATTAATACTGAAAGGCCAGGTTAACTACTTGGTTCTTTTTATTTATATAATAGGTTTCATTGTGATGACTTGGTTCCCTAATGTTTTCTTTCTTTGGTTTTAGAATAATCATGAATTTGTAGCTTTTAACATACTTAGGTTTTGTTTATTTCTTTGTTTTAGTCAATTCCAGTTATTTTTCTTTATGTTCAAATTGGCCCACCATCAGCCACTGAGAGGCTGTTCTAGTTGCTTTCTGAGTCCTTTTTGACAGCCTTCGTAGTCTTTGGAGCCATCTTGTCTTCTGCTGCCAGGATGTCCCAGGCTGGATCTCATGGTTTCTTCCCATTATCTGGAACCAAGATTTTCTCTGAGGAGCTCCAGCTCCTTCCAGTGTCAGAAGTAGTTAGAGGCTGTCATGTGGGCACTAGGATGCTGCTGATTGAGCATAGTTTCCTAGGCTTTTTCAGTGACAGAACTGAAGCTATTTTGTTTTAAGATTACTTAAGATTAAAAGTATCATGAGTTCATGTTGAGATATCCAATTCAGACTCTGAGTTTCTTAACCGTATTGTCTCACATTCATATGTCCTTTCCTCTCAGATCTCAAAGGCACTGTGTACGAATAGCAGTGTAGAGCGTTTTCTCTTATAGTAGGGATTTTGGTCTTTGCTTTCTCTCTGGGTATATGGTCAGATATTTTTGTTTTGAAGTAACTTGGAAGAATTCCTCTGCATAGTTATGTAACAAAGTAAATATGTAGTTGAATTCATGTTTCTTGTCTTTTTATTTTTAGGAATTGCTTTTTTTTAAATTAAATTTTATTTTTCAGTTATTTAAAGCATGGATACAGTTCCAACATCAAATCTCCCAAACAGGGAGCATTTTAAAAAGTCTAGCTTTCTGCTATGGTCTGTCCTTTCTGCTATGGTCTGTTCTTTGTGTTCTGCTGCCCTTCTTAGAGTAATGATAGCCTCCAGTACACAGCTTTCTCTGTCTTGCTTTTGTTTAAAATTTATTTAGTAGTATATAGAGGAGATCACTCTATAATAGAATATAGAGATTCTTACATTCCTTTTTATTTTCATAGTACTCTGGATGTAGATGTACCAAAGTTAGATTAATTTCCTACTTTTTCCTGTTTTTTGCAGTAGATGGCTTTGTACCTGTGTCTTTTGTGTATTTATTAATTGATACTGGGGTGAGATGCCTAGAAGTTGGATTGCGGGTACATTAGTCTGCTAGAATTGCCAGAGCAAAGTACTACAGACTAAATGCTTAAAAACAGAGCTGTGTTTCTCAGCGTTCTAGAGGCCAGAAGTTCAAGATCAAGGTGTTGGCAGGGTTAGCTTCTTCTGAGGCCTCTCCTTGGCCTGCAGCTGGCTGCCCTCTCTATGTCCTGATGTGGCCCTTCCTCTGTGTGCATCTCCTGGCATCTCTTTTTGTACACACATTTCCTCTTCTTATAGGGACAATAGGTAGTTTGGATTAGGACCCATCTTAAAGTCCTCATTTTAGTCTGATCACCTCTTTGAGGCACCTCTCTCTAAAGATAGTCACAGTTGGACACATGTGGGTGGGGGTTAGGCATCAGCACAAACTTTAGGGGAACGCAGTTCAGTCTGTAACTCTGAGTTAGGAGAGAAAGGCATACTAATTGACTAGATATTGCCAGATTTCCTTCCTGAGGGCTTCTAAACACTTTATAGTCTCCCACTGTGTAGAAGGGCCTTTCCCACATCAGCTCGCCAACAAAATGGCTTGTCAAATTTTTGAGGCTTTGCCAGTCTGGTAAGTAAGAACTGGCATCTCTGAGTTTTGAATTTGAGTTTTCCTTATTGTAAATGAGGTTGTACATCATAAGCTTAAGGACCACTTATATTTCTTTGTCTAAACTATTTGTTTATGTCTCCTATGAACTTAAACTATAGGGCTGTTAGAAGTTATTTGTAGATTGAAGATATTAACCCTTTGTCTCCAGTAAATTCACTTATTTTCCCCAGTTTGTCATGTATCTTTTTATTTTGTTTTTAGTTTTGTTTTGTTGTTGTTTGATTTGGTGGTACTGGGTTTGAACTCCAGTGGTCTACTACTTGAGCCATACCACAGCACTTTTGCTTTAGTTTATTTTTTAGATAAGATCTCCCACTTTTGTCTGTGCTGGCCTGGGACCCAATTATGCCTCCCATGTAGTTAGAATTACAGGTGTGCACTATGAGCAACTTATCTTTGACAAAGGAGCTAAAAATATACGATGGAGAAATAGCAGCCTCTTCAACAAAAACTGCTGGGAAAACTGGTTAGCAGTCTGCAAAAAACTGAAACTAGATCCATGTATATCACCCTAGACCAAGATTAACTCAAAATGGATCAAGGATCTTAATATCAGACCCCAAACTCTTAAGTTGATACAAGAAAGAGTAGAGAAATACTCTGGATTAGTAAGGTATAAGGTAAACTTTCTCAATGAAACCCCAGCAGCACAGCAACTAAGAGATGCATAGATAATGGGACTCATAAAACTAAAAAGCTTCTGTTTCATCAAAAGAAATGGTCTCTAAACTGAAGAGAACACCCACAGAGTGGGAGAAAATATTTGCCAATTATACATCAGACAAAGGACTGATAACCAGAATATACAGGGAACTTAAAAAACTAAATTCTCCCAAAACTAATGAACCAATAAAGAAATGGGCATGTGAACTAAACAGAACTTTCTCAAAAGAAGAAATTCAAATGGCCAGAAAACACATGAAAAAATGCTCACCATCTCTAGCAATAAAGGAAATGCAAATTAAAACCACACTAAGATTCCACCTCACCCTGTTAGAATAGCCATCATCAGAACACCACCAACAACAGGTGTTGGCGAGGATGTGGGGAAAAAGGAACCCTCTTACACTGTTGGTGGGAATGTAGACTAGTACAACCACTCTGGAAAAAAATTTGGAGGCTACTTAAAAGCTGGACATCGATCTACCATTTGATCCAGCAATACACTCTTGGGGATATACCCAAAAACTGTTACTCCAGAGGCACCTGCACATCCATGTTATTGCGGCACTATTCACAATAGCCAGTTATGGAAACAGCCAAGATGCCCCAGCACTGACGAATGGATTAAGAAAATGTGGTATCTATACACAATGGAATTTTATGCAGCATGAAGAAGAACGAAATGTTATATTCGCTGGTAAATGGATGGAATTGGAGAAATCATTCTGAGTGAGGTTAGCCTGGCCAAAAGACAAAAATCGTATGTTCTCCCTCATATGTGGACATTAGATCAAGGGCAAACACAACAAGGGGATTTGGACTATGAGCACAGGATAAAAGCGAGAGCACACAAGGGAGGGGTGAAGGATAGGTAAGACACCTAAAAACTAGCTAGCATTTTTGCCCTTAATGCAGAGAAACTAAAGAGATACTTAAAGCAACTGAGGCCAATAGGAAAAGGGGACCAGGAACTAGAGAAAAGGTTAGATCAAAAAGAATTAACCTAGAAGGTAACACCCACGCACAGGAAATCAATGTGAGTCAATGCCCTGTATAGCTATCCTTATCTCAACCAGCAAAACCCCTTGTTCCTTCCTATTATTGCTTATACTCTCTCTACAACAAAATTAGAGATAAGGGCAAAATAGTTTCTGCAGGGTATTGAGGGGGGAAGCGGGAGGGGGTGGAGTGGGTGGTAAGGGAGGGGGTGGGGGCGGGGGGAGAAATGAACCAAGCCTTGTATGCACATATGAATAATAAAAGAAAAATGAAAAAAAAAAAAAAAAAAGAATTACAGGTGTGCATCCCCATACCCCCGACATGATTTTTTTTAAAAAAAACAGTGCAAGAGCTGAGTGTTGTGGGGCATCACCATAATCCCAGCAACTGGGGACCTGAGGCAGGAGGATTGAGAGTTCGTGGCCATCCTGGATTACAGAGCAAGTTCCATACCAGCCTGAGCTACATAGTGTGAGATGCTGTCTCAACAAAGAAAGAAAAAAATACACAAGAATTTTTATGTAATCAGATTTATCCATTATCCATGTCTTGTTGTTGCTTCTGAATTGAGAGTCATAGTTAGGAATGTTCCCCCATTTCCTGACCAGAGAGTTTTAGTTGTTTTAACTTGAACTTATTTTAAAGTAACTTACCCTCAAATACTAGAAATTGGAAGTTTCAAGAAAAGTAAATTTGAAATTTCGATGTATCATTTTATATTTTCTTTGTAAGATAAAAAAGTGTTTCCTGCAAAATTTAGCTCTAGTATTTTTCAAGGCTTCAAGAAGTGTACGTGTACCTTGTAATTTAGGACTGAAGAAATCATAAATATCAATGTTTGCGTGTTACTTCTTAAAAGTCTCGTAATTATGGTGAGTAAAGAGAAGTGATAGCGCTCTGTTAAATCTGAATCCATTATTTGGGTTTTCTTTTGTCCCTTGGGTGGAATTGTCACAGCTTTCCTCTCTTTTTTTAGATCTTTCATTTATCCGTGCCTTCGAGTTTACATATGTTAATGTTTATGGCACTCACGTTTTGGTAAGGGCTGCCCATGAGGCGAGAGTGGAGAGATTCATTTACATCAGCACAGATGAAGTATATGGAGGCAGTCTCGATCAGGTAAGCTTGGAAAATACAGAACGCACCTGATCTCTTTGATCTTGGAAGCTAAGCAAGATCAGGCCTGGTTAGGATGTGGATGGGAGAGGTGTGTATTCCATCTGCTTACACTGTACCATGATATAAAACTTTTCCTGAACTCTGCTGTCTTCTATTGTCTCTTTTCTTCAATCCAGTGATGCCATTTCAAGATGAGAACAGCCTCATCTTGGTACAAATTAATCCTAATTTGACTGACTTTGTTGCAAACACAGTTTATCTCTTTAAACATTAAACAAATATCCATGCTATTAGGTTTGGTGGCACTGAAATTAAGGGGGGTGTGAAAGGGAAGGCTGAAAAGAATCTATGTACAAGTAACAATTATTGGGTAAACTTAACAGTTATTAATAGTTAAAGGTCATTTTCTATGTAATTAATACTTCAGGATGGTCTTGTGATCTTGTGTCATATTTAAAGGAAAACTGTAGTTAAAATGAAATTAGGAATTAGAAAATAACATGGTTCCTCATATTTTTAGTCTCAATCTCTAAATTACTACTGCAGTTGACCTATGATGCAGTGAAACTGCAGTTTTCCTTGAATGAAAGTTTATTTTTTTATGTTAGTTAAATTCTTACTGGGGGCTAGAGGTATGGCTCAAGCAGTAGAGTGCCTGCTCTGTAAGCACAAAACCCTGAGTGAAACACAGTTCCACCAAAAAAAAAAAAAAAAAAAAAATTAAAGTTAAACTCTTAATAGTACTTGTCATTTTAAAAAGGTCCCTAAAATACTTCAGATATGGGGCTTATGGGATTGTATTAGTCAACTGCTGTTTTCTACTCCAGCAGAGATTTGAATTTGCATTTTGATAGAAGCATTCCAGATTACCAGCAGTGGGGGGTGGGGAAGGTCCAGTCCAGTCTTCCAGTCCTAAATCCATACGTTTGTCTGAGAATTAAATCACTTATTGATCACACATGATAATGGGTGATACCCAAGCTTTATTCCCACCTCCCATTATTAAATACATTACATAAGATGGGCCTACAATCATTCTTATTACCAAATAATTCCATGACCTTGTTTGGGAGACAGTTTCAGCAGAGAACTTCAGAATGTCCCAAGGTTTCTGAAAACAGTGACTTTTCTGTCCAAGCAGGGTGTGAAGAAGTTTGAAATGGAACCCGGCATCTCCCTAAAGGAATTCTCACTGCTCACCGCTAGGGCTGGATCCAGATGGCCTCAGAGTAGACTAACTTTACACAGCACATTTAAGAGACACATTTATGAAGCATCACAATTACTCTACTACTTTTAGCAAACAGCAGTAGAAGGACAATCTGTATTCAAATCTTTTGCTGGAATGCTTTATACTTTCACAGAACAGAAACTTAAATAACCTGTTATACTATTAGTCACAAATATGGTCTTCAAGTTTTTTTGTCCTTACACATACGTGTTGTTTAAACATGTCTTCTTTGTAATACTAGGTCCTGCCACCATGGTGCTTGGTTGAATTCACAATTCTCTTATAACTTGGGGCTTCCTGGTCACTTCTGGCTCTCCTCTCCTGCTAAACTTTGTTTCCTGGCAGTAATTAAAATCTGCCACCGTCATAGCTACTGCTACTACTTCTGTGGGAACCTCCATAGCCACCTTAGTTTCATGGTTTGGGCAAAGTATTGGCCTCTGCTACCATGGGGCTAGAGCTTCTGCCTCCCCCCCCCCCCCCCCCCCCCCCCCCCCCCCCCCCCCCCCCCCCCCCCCCCCCCCCCCCCCCCCCCCCCCCCCCCCCCCCCCCCCCCCCCCCCCCCCCCCCCCCCCCCCCCCCCCCCCCCCCCCCCCCCCCCCCCCCCCTCCCCCCCCCCCCCCCCCCCCCCCCCCCCCCCCCCCCCCCCCCCCCCCCCCCCCCCCCCCCCCCCCCCCCCCCCCCCCCCCCCCCCCCCCCCCCCCCCCCCCCCCCCCCCCCCCCCCCCCCCCCCCCCTCCCCCCCCCCCCCCCCCCCCCCCCCCCCCCCCCCCCCCCCCCCCCCCCCCCCCCCCCCCCCCCCCCCCCCCCCCCCCCCCCCCCCCCCCCCCCCCCCCCCCCCCCCCCCCCCCCCCCCCCCCCCCCCCCCCCCCCCCCCCCCCCCCCCCCCCCCCCCCCCCCCCCCCCCCCCCCCCCCCCCCCCCCCCCCCCCCCCCCCCCCCCCCCCCCCCCCCCCCCCCCCCCCCCCCCCCCCCCCCCCCCCCCCCCCCCCCCCCCCCCCCCCCCCCCCCCCCCCCCCCCCCCCCTCCCCCCCCCCCCCACCCCCCCCCCCCCCCCCCCCCCCCCCCCCCCCCCCCAAAGTTTCCTCACTTACAGGCGAAGGGTCAGTTGAAGATTGTCATAATTGACAAAATCATTGCAGATTCTACCATCTACAAAATTGCTTCTATCTCTACCAAAGCCATATGACTCATCCCTGCTGCCATCATATCACCTACTCCCCGTCCCCACCACCCAGACCAGCATGACCACTGCAATTTTCCCCTATGACCAGACTTGCCATTGCCACCAAAAACACCTGTATGACCACCACCAGTTTCCAGACCACTTCATCCTTTTTGACTTGTCATTTCATAGTTGTGGCCATGCACAGTATGGCACTTCTGAGTGACAGTCTTATCCAGGGAGTCAGGCATCAAAGGTTATGCAAGCAAAGCCACTGCCTTGGTCAGTTATGACTTCAATCACCAGGTTTCCTACACTGTTCAAAATAATGTTTTAGGTGATGTTCTTCAGTGTCTTTAATGCCGCCAACAAAAATCTTTCCCACAATGAAGTGGAACCTGGTCTTGAAGAATCTTCTCTTGAGACACCGTCTTAGGTTCCACACTCTTCCATCTGCCTCATGTGGCCTTGCATCCTTGGCTGCACCACATCCTCCACAGTGGCATGAGTGGCAAATCCAAAGCATTGCTGTTTCGATCTCTCATTGCCACCCAGTGTTCCATTGCTCACAATGGTTCCTCAGACTCTCCTAGTTGTTTCAAAGCTTCCTTGGAGGCATCCACGGCAGAAAGCTGTTTTCATTGAACTCGTTTTTTAAATGCCTACTTTTATTTTACCAAAACACATGCCTAGTGGGGGAAAAAACCAAATAGTTGAAAAAGAATTACAATGAGAAAAAGCAGGTCCTGCACATTTCTCCATCCCCAGTTCTGCTTCTGAGAAGCAGCTACTTTCAACTCTCTTGGAAGTTTTCATCAGGGAAACTTTTTCCTTCCTGTGCTTTCCATTCTCCGTCAGCTCTGACTTTGAATACAGGAGTCATGGCTAGGCGCTGGTGGCTCACGCCTGTAATCCTAGCAACTCAGGAAGCAGAGATCAACACACACACACAAAGAAAGGGCTAGTGGAGTGGCTCAAGGTGTATGCCCTGAGTTCAAGCCCCAGTACTGCACAGAAAAAAAAGAAAGAAAGAAAGAAAGAAAATGAGTCAAGAGTCAGATTGTGGCATTGCTCTGCTCAAAACCTGTCAGCGTTTGTTTTCACAGTAGTCTTCAAGGTTTATTGTCTCCTGGCCTCTGTCCAGCTCTCTGATCTCCTCTCCCTCTCTTCCTCACACTGGCTGGCCTTCCTGCAGTTCTTTTAGACACACTTCTGTCTCAGGGCCTTTGTGTCAGGCCAGCCTTAACAGTGTTTTTATGAGCATTAAAGTTACTGCATGTACTTGGAAAAATGCCAGAGAAATAGGGTTCAAAAAATGTTTTGTTTTCTTAAATCAGGGTCTCACTATTTAGTAGAAGCTGGCCTCAGACTTGCTATGTAATTCAAGCTGTAATCAAACTCTCCTTCGTCCTGCCTTAGCCTCCCATGGATGATAAGTGTGTACCACTATGGCAGGATTTTTTTTTTCAGCACTGGGGATTGAGCTCAGAACCTTGAAATTGCTAAGCAAGCCCTTTACCACTTGAGTCACATATTTGACTTTTCACTTTTTAAAATTTTTATTTATTTATTTTTTTGGTAGAGTCTCACACATGCTTTTGCACAGGCTGGCCTTGGATCATGATCCTCCTACCTCTGCCATCTCTGCCTCCTGAGTAGCTGAGACAACAGGCATGTGCCACCATGTCCAGCCAAGAAATTGTTTTTTAAATGCATTGATTAACATTGTAATATGGGTTTATTTAGTTTAATTTTTGTGATGCTGGGGGTCAAACCCAGGTCCTCAAGAATGCTAGGCTAGTGCTCTACCACTGAGCTACACCTGCAGTTCTTATACTATGCTTTCTACTTAGTATTATAGTACTTATTTTTAAAAATATATCCCTTTAAAATTAGGAATTTGATGAATCATCACCCCAGCAACCTACAAATCCTTATGCTTCATCTAAAGCAGCTGCCGAATGTTTTGTACAATCTTACTGGGAACAATACAAGGTAAAAACTGATTTCTGAAACTCTTGAGCTGTTTACTTATATGTTAAGAAATTAAAAAATTGATTTCTATACTATGTGGACAACATAGGACCTACCTCTTCCTGTTCGGTTCATCATTAAAGCAGTAATTTGAATTTATTTTTTCCCATTTCAGTAATACATAGAGTGTCACAGCTATAGTGAAAAGCCCTACTGGAGTCCTATGAGTGGAGGAAGACAGAGGGTGGTCAGATTCCCTTTCCTGCTGTATGCTTCTCTCTGCATGACTCAGCTCTCTTGGCTCCTCATGAATGGGAGGTAGACTTAACCCCTGGTGGCTCTGACAGTGTCAGTGTGGGAGCCTCACCCAATAGAAATCAGCAGCTCAAATCCCCTACATTTGGCTTCCCACTAGTCTTTGAGTTCTTAGCATACGGGCCAGAAAGGCAAGCCAAGGAATTCTTTGGGATTCTCTCTCTTAATGTTTGTTCCAGTGGCATTGGTTCTCTTCCCTTTTGTGGTAGACCTTTTTATTTGTAAAGGTTGGTACAGTGGCGAGAGCCAACCTGAAGTTTGGTTACATGTAACCAAGTCCTAGAGGTGGCCTCTGAAATGAGCAAGTGGAAGATACTCAGTAGTTTGTCAGACTTACTTACAAACCTACTTCCATCTGTATTCATCCTCCTCTTGTCTCAGTAAAGAGAAAGAGACTTCCTTTTGGACCTTCTGCCTTTATCTGAACTCCATCCTCTCCTGACCTTTTTTTAATTGTAGTACCCAGTCTTTGCCTCCTGAGTGCTGAGATTATAGAAGTATACCTCCCTCCAAGCCCTTGAAAGAGACTTCCTTCCTTCCTTCCTTCCTTCCTTTCTCCCTCCCTCCCGCCTCCTTTCCTCCCTCCCTCCCTCCCTCCCTCCCTCCATCTTTCCCCCTCCCTCCTTCCCTCTTTCCCTTTTCTCTCCCTCCCTTCCAGCAACACTGGGAATTGAATGCAGTGCTTCATGCTTGAGGCAGGTGCTCTACCACTTGAGCCATGCCTCCAGTCCCCTTTTACTCTGGTAATTTTGGAAATAGAGTCTCACTTTTTGCCTAGGCCAGCCTGTACCTAAATCCTATGTATACTTCCTATTGTAACTGGGATGATGGGCACACACCACCATGCCCAGCCTTTTCCATTGAGATGGACTCTTGTAAACGTTTTTGCCCAGGCTGGCCTGGAACTGGCATCCTCCCAATCTCAACCTCCCACGTAGCTAGGATTACAGGTGTGAGCCACACGCCTAGCTTAATGTAAGGTTTTCTAATGTAAGGTTCCTGAAAAGACAGAGGAGAGAGCCAGGTCTGGTAGTTCATACCTGTAATCTCAGCTCTTTGGAGAAAGAGACAGAGGAATCACAGTTGGAGATCAGGCTAGGCCAAAGTTACTTCCAGACCCCATGTGAAAAGAAAACTAAGGAGCAAATGACCTAAGTTCAAGTCCCAAGACCTCAAAAACAAAAAAACCATCTCTGCTTTATCCTTGAGGTGTTTGTAGAATTATTTAGGTAAAGGTGCCTGTATGTTAAAACTCTACATTTCTTTAAAATAATCATTATTGTTGGGCCTTTCCATTACATTAATGTTGAACTCACTCTTCAGTTTCCAGTTGTCATCACAAGAATCAGTAATGTGTACGGACCACATCAATATCCGGAAAAGGTAAATTCTACTTCTGAATCCATATCAGTTTCTAGCGATTATAACTTACCATTATTTAAAATAATCTTTCATTTGTGTAAGATAATTTATGTTGTAATTATCTGTCCTATGCAGGCTGCATGCAAATCTCATCAAACTTAGAGCTTGAAGACTTGAGTTTAAGTATCAGTTTGACATTCACTAGCTGGCATGACCTTAGGCCCTTGACTGTTGTCTTTAAACTGGGGGTTAGCAAAAATACTCAGAAAGGATCTGGAAGGATCCAGTGAAATAATGTCTGAGAAAATGCCTTGTCTTCCTAGGACTGTAATGCACCATACAAGTATTCCACCACTGCTGCCACACTGTTTGTCGTCAGACCTGTATGTCAGGGTGCAAAAACGTTAAAAGCTAGTTAGGGAGTGATGTGGGAAGCACATACATAAAGTGTCTTGCTGTCAGCTGGCTAACTGTGCCTCAACTATTTTTATCCAAGTAGTGAATAAAGAAATGTAGCTACAATATCTAAAAATGCCCATGAGGGTGGTTCTATGTCATTAAGCCCAGTTTTACATAACTGTTGCCTGCTCTGCTCTGCCTAAATTTGGAGACTTGGTTTTCTCACTTTGCCCAAAGGAAAGGACCATATGATGGTGTGCTGGTATCAATACTAACATTGCTTAATTTTTGGAGTATCTTTAACAGACTTAACATAAATTTAGCAATTCCTTACTTGCCATATTTAGCATAAGTATGATTGAATCCAAGGACACTGGAATTTACTTTTTATAAATTCCACAAGCGCTTATTGAGTGGGTGTGTATATACAAAGCAATAAGTAAGGAATGACTCCTGCCTTTGTATTTGAAATCAACACAAAGATTAACTTTGTGAGAACAGCACACTGCCTGCAAAGACTTCACATTTTGCCTCTATTTATATTGTTTCATCTTTAGGTAATTGGTTTTTATGAAATAACAAACCATGTTAGAGTTCTTTACTTATCAAGTATTATAGGCTTTTTTCATTAATTCATGGTAAAAAAAAATTAGAATTCTATAAATATTTCTTAGTAATACTTTTAATCATATGCATTCAGATTCATATTAATGAGTACATTTCCAAAGTCTGAAATGATATTTTAATATTCTTTTAGGTTATTCCAAAATTCATATCTTTACTACAGCACAACAGGAAGTGGTATGTTATTACTTATCTTTATACCCACAATGCTTTTCTAGTATTTTTTTGTAGCAGTCCTTCCTTGAAAAATTACAAAGTTGCAAGTTACAGGCCATAGGCATGAATGTCCTCCCAAATTAAGAATCCCTTCTCAATTTAATGTAGCAATTTAATTATAATCTGTAATTCATTTTTATAACTTACTAAGATAATTTCAATTTTTAATATTTGTCATAGAACTTTGAGCTATAATTTAGCATCTATCTTTATATAATTTTATCTTTAAAGGATTAACTTAATTCATGAACTATAGATAGGTCCTCAAAATGAACTTGTGGTATACAATTGATTAATAAGTATCTTGTAGGGGTCCATTTTTTTCCAGTTTCTTACTAAGTATCCACAGGAGTTTTGGACATCATTTAAGAACTAAGGTTAAAGGTGGAAAAGGTACAAGAATTTGTGACTTCAGAGAAAGCATTTTAGAATCCCCATGGGAACTGGCTTCTCTGGGGTTATTCCTAGTCATTGCTTTATCCTATTTGTGGAGCTTACTTTTTTACACTTATGATTCTGCTTTCTGTAATCTGTTTAGCTGCATTCATGGATCAGGGCTTCAAACAAGGAATTTCCTTTATGCTACTGATGTAGTAGAGGCACTTCTCACTGTCCTCAAAAAGGGAAAACCAGGTGAAATTTATAACATCGGAACCAGTTTTGAAATGTCCGTTGTCCAGCTTGCCAAAGAGCTAATACAGTTGGTACGTATCTTTTGTAAAAGGGTAGTACTTACAAAACTGTAAGTGATAGTAATCATGAATTCAGTCAGTAACAGTGGTTTACAGTTTCCCTAATGTAAGTGAACAAATGGAAAATGAAATTCATATTATGTGTACTGCATGTCTTCATTTGAAGTGGTACTACTTCTTTAGTAACAGCTTCTCAGGATAGTATGCATACCTTAATTGTAAGATGTACGTCAATTTCAGAAGTACAATATTGTGTGTTCTAGTTTCAAAGAACAGTGACATATAAGCTAAAAATAAGTGTACATATGTATTAGGAGTCATCAGTTATTATTCTAGGATTTAGTGAAAACAGGGACTGTATATTAACCAAAAGTCAGAAAAATACATTTTTTCTCATTGTTTATATGTGTATCCTTTTTTACACTTCAGCTGGAATATGGGCTATAAAGTACCCCACTTTGAGGCAGTTGTCTTTCTTTTTATCAACTATCAAATACCATTGTTATTCTCTGGTCTCATTTTATAATTTGATTCAAGTCTTCTCCATTTTGACAGATCAAAGAGACCAGCTCAGAGTCTGAAATGGAAAATTGGGTTGATTATGTTAATGATAGGTGAGTAACAAGTTAAAACATTGGGGAAAGGTTGTGAAATGTGAGGTACTTATAAAATTATAAATTATATGGGATCACCTGAAAACTAGTATATCTCCTTTTGAATTTTCTGGTACTTTTCTTTTCCTAATTATAAATGTCATACAGATTAAGTATAACACTGTTACTAGATATGTGGATGAAAGAAAGTTATTAACTCTTTTCAAATATGAAGCTTTCTCCATTGTGAAATAGGAATAATAATACCTTTCCTAGAATAGTATTTTAAGGTTTAATTACAATGTGTATAAAGTACCTGGCCCAGGGCCTGACACTTAAGAGTCATAAGTTACATGCCTTTATTTTTTCATTCATTAAACATTTACTAAATGTCTTCTGTGTACCAGACTTATGTCTAAATTGTAACTGAAATTAATTATAAAAAGGATAAACCATGGAGAAGGCTAGGTGTTGGGGATTATGGTTGTTTAAACATATACTTAAAACATTTTCTATAATCATGTCCTTAAGGAACTTTTTTTAAAAAAAACATGGGTTATGATAAAGTTGCATGAACACAAATTATGTCTCTTAGTGTTTAAATGTCTCGATATATACTCACAATGTCATTTCAAATCTGTTTTGTTTTCTAAGACCTACCAATGACATGAGATATCCAATGAAGTCAGAAAAGATTCACGATTTAGGATGGAAACCTAAAGTGCCTTGGAATGAAGGAATAAAGAAAACAAGTATGTTAAAAATTGACCATTTAGGGACAGTTCAGAAAAACTTACAGAAAAATTAATTCATTTTTATAATACTCTACAAATTCAGAATATTGTGGTTTGCACTTCTCAAATTGTGATATTTAACATATTTCTAGCAATAGTACTATGTTGCTGAACATACTGAACTTTACAAACAAACTTCTCACCAGTCTTTCAAATACCTGTTTCATTGATTCACTTTCTTTATATCCTTGAAAGGTATGTGTCTTATAATCACTGATCATTGTGGCTTTTTTCCTTCATAGCAGTATGAAGTAATGGTCCAACTTCAGATCAGTGACATCTTAGATTTGATGAGTGTCTTGAAACAAACAAGTAGGAAACATTCAACATGTGCAGAAAAGTCTACTAAAATAAGTAGAAAATCTGTATGATATTAAAGCTCTATTTATAAATGTGTTCATGATATCTACAAAAAAGTCTTGATTCAGATGTTGAATACAAAATATGTGTATCAAATATTTAAAAAATCAAAGATAAAAGTATTAAATTTCTTTTAACTAAAAAAGCTTCCACTGATAGCATGTAATATAAAATAATTTCACATAATTGAACGAAACCCACATCATCTTCCTGTGCCTCTGATGTAATATTACCATATTTACATGAACAAATATTACACTTTTTCTATAAAATAACTTTTAAAACCAGTACGAATAACTTCTCTTCCACACCATTGCCTAACAACAGAATGTGTTGAGCACTTTTACCAGCAGGTTCGGTATTAGAGGACTTTTGAAGTTAAACATAAAAAACAAGATTAATTTTTAATTCCAGGACTTCCAGGTTATAAAGTGTCTTCTGATTAACTTCATTGTGAAGTTCAAAACCAAATTGGTTTGACCGTGTTGCTAATTTGCTTGATGGGCAAGACTGTTCTTATTTTCAGAAACTCATAAAACATTGATTAATTTGATGTTTAGTTGTGTTTTTTTGTCTTTTGTTTTTCCTATCAGTTGAGTGGTACAGAGAGAATTTTCATAACTGGAAGAATGCAGAAAAGGCATTAGAACCCTTTCCAGCACAGCAAGCATTTATATAATCAACATAGTTTTCAGAGAAAGAAGAAAATTACCCTACCTCAACAAATGGTGTGAAATCACGCGACTAAACAGACTGCCCTCTTTTCATTTGGAATTAGAGTCATGACTTTTTGTATTCCATTCAGATGAGAAATGCCTCAACTTTGGAAGAATTTTGATAATTGGCACAGGATTTTCTTCTTACCACTTGAGCCATACCGCCAGCTAGCACACAATTTAAATATCAGAATTCTTTCAGGAAACTTCTGGAAATGAGGAAGTAGTATGCGTGGAGTGTCTAGAGGTGAGCCAGGAAGAGGCTCTGAGAACAGAGACAGCAGCAGCACTGTGTGATGGCGAGCTCCGCTGGCTTAGACCTCATTCAGCTTCCCAGCCTTTCCCGGTGCCTCGGAAGTACTAGAGATTTCATTTCCGGGCACTGTAGGATGTGTATTATATGCTAATTCAACTTTTTTCTGAAAGGTCAGATGTTGTGCTATAATCGCTTTGATACAGTGGAACAAAATGGAAGCATATCTAGCACTTTTTAACTTTTTACAATTTTATAAAATTAAGTTAAATGCTTTTTAAAGATGGGATGTAAAATTTTTATATTTCCAGAATCAGTTGTTGATCTATATATAACCTGTATCAGAAATTTTATCATATATGTACTGTTTTATATGATTTTATTTATAAAATTCTCAGTATTTTAATGTATTTAATATAGAATATGCCATTTTGGGTAATGTTTTATTTTGCTATGGAAAAAAAATTTTAAATAATTGATTGTGTTTTTAAGTCTCTTTTTGCCCTAAAGACTTTAACGTGGCTTGAAAAAGTAACTGGCTTTTAGGCTGAGAAAGGGAGACGAAGCTGGGTGACCCTCTGTTGAAAATGCAGGTTTTAGTATGGTGGCTTCTTGACCCTCTATTAGAAGGCCCTAATACACTTTTCAGTACACTTAACACCAACCTCCCACTGTGCCTGGAGATCCCCAAGTATACTTCTCTTTAGTTTCTGCAGATAATTTTCCCTGTCTGGAAGGAAAGAGCAGGACAAATGTACCAGTCCTGCATGAGATGTAGAGACAAAAAAAGTAAGAGAGAAGAAGGAAAGTTGGACAGGATCATGGTGCTGACAGGCTGTGCAGGCAGCAAGGCAAACGCACATGGAAAAAATGTTTATTGTGAAAGTCAGCTTGTGACCATATAACTGGTTTTCTTGAACAGTGCCGTATTGGGGGGCTCAGATTTGTCTCTGTTGCCAGCACAGTAAGTGCAGACAGGTGGCCCTAGCTAGATGGACCATGGTAAATGTGAGACCATGCTGTAGATTCCAAGAGTAGGTCCATCTCTCATTTGTGCTATCCAGCTACCCATTGTGGAAGTTCTGAGAGGTTTTTTTTGGCAGTACTGGGGTTTGAACTCAGGGCCTACACCTTGAGCCACTCCACCAGCCCTTTCTTTGTGAAGGGTTTTTTCAAGATAGGGTCTTGCAAACTATTTGCCCAGGCTGGCTTTGAACTGTGATCCTCCTGATCTCTGCCTCCTGAGTAGCTAGGATTACAGGTGTGAACCACCAGTGCCCAGCAGTTCTGAGGTTCTGATGATGAAGGCTGGCCAAAGATAACTGGCCAAGTCATTTTTTTCTGCTGGGCGGTTCAGGGCCTCTTCTATAGTGCTTGATTTCTAGTGGACATTAACATGTCATACACAGATCTTCACACTTCCACTCTCTACCATCCACCCATCCATACACCTCAAACTCTAGAGGGTAACTGTAACTATTCCACAGGCCACCATGTTTAGTTAGGGACCAGACTGGTGAGTTAAATGAAGATATATAGGGGGCGTACCTCTGCACCCTTGAGATCCTCAAAGGTGACACCATCTCATTCAACATGCAATTTTGTTTTTGCTTTACTATGGGTAGGAGAGTAGCCCTTCACCCCCTCCACCCCATACCACCCCACCTCCCCTACCAGCACCTTCCTTAGCCCCATAGCTTCCCTGGCTTCAGGGTCCTGAACCTTAGAGGTTCTGTGAGGTCCACTAGCCTAATCTAGAGGATGAACCAGAGCTAGTAGAGGAAGCTGAAGATGGGTCCAGGCACAGGGACAGCAGAGTGAAAGCACCAAGTTGTAAATAATACTGCATTCAGGCAACCACAGATCACTAGTGTTACTTAAGCACAGTCACCCTTCGAATGGGGCCCCAGTTTATTAGGGAAAAATGCAGATTGAAACTAATAAGACAGCACTTCACACCCATTAAGATGGCTATTATGCAAAAAAAACAAAATGGGGGGGCAGAATAAGTGTTGGCAAGAATGTGGAGAAATTGGGGCCCTGGTACATTGTTGGTGGGAATGTCAAATGCTGTAGCCACTATGGAAAATAGTGTGTTGGTTTCTCAAAAGCTAAACAGAATTACCATGTGATCTAGCCATTCCACTTCTGGATACATATCCAAAAGAACTGAAAGCAGGGACTCAAATGAATATATCACACCAGTGCTTAGTAACAGCATCACTCACAGTAGGCAGAGGTAGAAAGAACCCAAATGCCTGTTGAGAGATGAGAGGATAACCAACATGCAGTATAGTATCCAGCGTGAGATTCAGACATGTACTACAATACAGATGAACCTTGAAGGACACAAAGGAGCATATGTGTGATTCCACTTAGGTGAGGTACCTACAGCAGGCAAATTTAGAGAGTATAATAGAGGTTTATGGATGGAGGAGGAAAGTAGTTATTGTTTAAGGTATAATGGTTCTATTTGGGATGATGAAAAATTCTGTAAGTGGGTAATGGTGATACTTATATAATATACTACTTAATCTACTTAATGACACTGAATTGTTCACTTGAAAGTGATTAAAATGGTAATTTTCATGTTACATGTATTTTACCACAATAATAATATTTTAAAAATGTGTCCCTGGACCAACAGTATGCACATTGCGTGGGGCTTTGTTAGAAATGTATGTTCTCAGTGCTGGGGAGATGGTTCAAGTGGTGGAGCATCTGCCTAGCAAGCACAAGCCCCTGAATTCAAACCCAGTACTGCCAAAATGTGCACGTTCTTGGGCCCTATTCCAGACTTACAGAATCAGAGACTGGGGCTGGGTCCCAGTAATTCTGTCGCACCCTGGCGTTTGAGAACCATTGCTCTGTGGTGTGAGATGGGGAGATGAGTCTGGTGAGCGAAGTGGTGACTGTTCATGCAAGTCCTTGCCCTGCCAGCAAGGAGCTAATTTCAGGATTTTAAACAAATTGACACTGTTAGATTTGTGGTTTATCTGTTCCCTAGTTGTGAAAGTAACACGCATGCATTGCAGAAAACTTGGAGGAATAAACAGAAAATCATCCATATACTACCACTGGAAGATCACGTCTGTTAATATTGGATGTGTGTTCTTCATGGCATTTTTTTGGTGCACATATGCATGTTTTTAGAAAACACGGGATCATCATTGAACATAAATGTTTTGGAGCCTGTTTTGTATTGAATGGCAATGTGTCATGAACATTTTTACATATTATGAGATCTTTTGCCATTTTTATTGACTTCAGAATTACATTTTGGATAGCTTATTCTGGCAACAGTATGAAGATGGATTTAAGGAAGACGAGACTGAGCCCCTGCAGGGACCCAATTTATGAAGCTCTTGCAGTAAATCAGACTGGTGGTGATAAGGCCTAAAGCACAACACTGCCAATGACTGGAGTTGGGAACAGATGTGAGAATTTTTAGATTAAAAAACTTACGATTGATGGTATGGGGTAATGCCATTTCTTGGTCTGAGTGGTATTTTAAAGTCTGAACATTCAGGACCTGTTGAACTGTGGGGGTTTGTAGGACAAGCTAGCCAACAGTCAGATAGATGAACCTGAAAGAAATTGGTGGGCAGGGCTCAAGAGCTACAGACATATTTGGGAGTTTAAGTGGCTATGGACACCTCAGTGGGGCCTTGTGGAGGGTAATTAGGTCATGCAGTGGGGTTGGGGCACTATTTTGGAAGGAATGAATGGGGTTCTTTCAGGAAACTGTTGTTACAAAAAGAATAGGCCCCTGAAGAGTGGCCCCTGAAGCCCCTCTCTGGCTTCCTGTCTCACCATGGAGGTCCTTACCAGAGACTCAAATGATGGGGCTGCCCAATCCAGAACTGTAAGTTAAATAAACCCCTTCTTTATCAGTTACCCAGCCTCAGACATTTTCTTACAGCCATAGAAAACAGACTAAAACAGTTGCCTCACCTGCAGATGCTGAGGTCCTGCCCTCTGGGTCACCATCACACTTCACTCTTTCGTTTCTGTGACTCGTGTTGTAGCTCCTGGTAGTGTGGATATCTCTGAGTACCTGGACTGGACACTCAGCATCACTGTCCCCAACCAGGCAGAACCTCTTCCTCCTCGCGTCCGAGCCCGCAAAGCCACTTCCTCCTTTGGACCTCACGCTTTGTGGAACGCGAACCCGTTTGCGAGTCTTGTGCTGGGTTTGGTAGATTTTTTGTTTTGTTTGTTGTTTAGAAATACTTGAACTTTAACCCTCAAGTTGGGGTTTCTCTGTAGACACTTCTCTCTGTCTTTGAGTAATTCTTCGTTAATCCTTTCTTAGCCTTAATAGTATTTATTCTTGCAGTACTGAGGTTTGCACTCAGAGCCTTGCACTTGCTAGGCAGGTACTCTACCAATTGAGCCACATCCCCGGACCTTTTTTTTTTTTTTTTTTTAAATTTTCTTTGCTTTAGTTATTTTTTAGGTAAGAGGCTACATTTTTGCCTAGGGCCAGCCTCTGATCACCAGTCACCTATGTAACTCTTATGTAGCTGGAATTATAGGCATTTACTACCACACCCAGCTAGTTGATTGAGATAGGGTCTCACTAACTTTTTGCCTGGACTGGCCTTGAACCACAATCCTCCTCATCTCTACATCCCAAGTAGCTGGGATTACAGGTGTGTACCACCACACTTGATCCCCTGTACAGTCAATATTTCTAATTCTGCTGTGTTCTGATTGACACACTCTTAATTTCCAAATGATGGAAGGTACTCTGTTTTATCAATGTAACCTTTCTACCCTAACTTCAAAAAATGGGAAGCCCCCTTCCATCATCTTCCCTTAAGTCAATTTTGAGGAGCCAAAGAAGCCATTCTAATTCTCGGTTCTTAGTCTTGACTCAACTGGGAAAGTCTCCAGTTCATTGACAAAGTTGGACACTTTGCTTAGTCCTTCACCTACTGAGAACATTGGCTGTCAGTGTAGAGAGTTGTGAGAGTCAACTGGAGAAATGGAGAAGAGAGAGCACATTTACAGGTTAAAATGGTGACTACAAATAGAGGTGTGAAATATTAAACAGATCGGGGCTTATCACAGATAAGCCCTGTGACAAACATCTATTTCCAGAAAAAAATAAAATAAAATGTAATCAATAGCCCTGGAGTTTTGCCCTTCCCATCTCAAAAAAAAAAAAGCTTCGTTGAAAGTATAAAGCAATTTTTCTTTTGCCAAAAACAGATAGATAAATAAACCCTCCAAAGAAACTCCATTTTTATCTATTTGGATATTACATATCAGATGAAAATTCTAAGTCTTAATATTTAG